AAAAAAGAAACCAAATAATGAAAATTCATCGAAACCAGATGATGATGATGGTTCTAACCGAAATCATTCTCATGCAGCACCATCAAGTCCAGTTAAAATTATTCAAACACCTATAAGTACGTAATTATATGAACAAAAACAAATTCTAATTTCAAAATTCTTTTCCTTTAGCTACTTATATTAATGTTACTGAAAAACCAGCACGTTATCGTGGTTGGTCACTTTATTTTCCTGATACAGGTACATGTATATATATATATATACTATGACTCGTAGCCTAATATTTTTCCCTTGTAGATAAAGAATCTGATCTTAGTTATTTATCAGTTTGTCAATTATTCGAAAGTTATTTTAAACGAACGAAAGATTTATATGATCTTGTAAATTTATTGAATAAGTATCATTCATTGATAAAACTATTTATTTTTCTAGTCAGATATTGAACATAAACAGTCATTTACGATTAATTTTGATGAAATACTTAAAGATGAAGGTTTAAAATGAATATAATAAAATATTATTTACTAAATAGTTTTTTCTCTGATAGCTTTCAAAGATAAAAAAGAAAGTTGGAGTTTATTTTTTTTCTGATCAAAATGATACAACAATGCGAGTGATTGGTTTAGCAATGCATCAAGTATTAAAATTATTTTTTTATTTATATATATCTCTATATCTATATTTATAGTGTATTATTGATGAACAAGAAGAAAAAGATCGAATAGCAGCAAGTGAATGTCATCATCCAACAGTACCACTTGTTGATCTTCCAATAATTCATGCTCGTTTGATTAATTTTGATCCTATGATCAAATTAAAAGATGTTAAAGCTCAGGCTTATGGTTAGAGATATGATATTTTATCGTATAAACTAATTATAAAATATATAGGTAAATTTGCATCAATTCGAGGTGTTGTTGTACGTGTAAGTAATTCACAATGTTTGGTAATTCGTCTTGCATTTGAATGCTCAACATGTCGACATACATTTGGTGTAACATGTGAAAATGGTAAACATACTGAACCGGAACGTTGTCTAACACCTGGTTGTAATGGTCGATCATTTGTTCAACGACGTTCACATCCATTAACAACAATTATTGATTGGCAAACAATAAGGTTTGAATTTTTCCTAATTATTAAAATGATCTATTGAATTGAAATCTTTAATATAGATTGCAAGAAGTTGCTTCAGAAGCATCAAAAGCACCTGGTCGTATTCCACAAACAATTGAATGTGAATTAACGAATGATCTTGTTAATAGTGCTATTCCAGGTGATGTTGTAGTTGTATCTGGTATTGTAAAATTAATGGTTGATGAAAATAGTATGTAAAGTTAATTTGAAATTATATGAATCGGAAAAAACTAAATATTATATATTAAGGTGGTTTACGTAAAGTATCTGATCAATCTTTACTTCAAGTTTATATTGATGTTAATTCAGTTGTTAATCAAAGATTAAATAGTTCTGATGGAGCATCAGGCGGTGGTGGTTTAATGAATACAATGGATTTTTCTTTATTTGATTTGTATGGTATTCAACAAATTCAACAACAAAAAAATGTTTTAAAGTAAATAAAATATTTTATTTTTATAAATAAATAATTTCTATTTTATATTATAATAGACTTCTTGTTCATTCGATTTGTCCAAGTATATATGGACATGAACTTGTTAAAGCAGCACTTTTAATGGCTTTATTTGGTGGATTAGTTCGAGGTGAAGATAATGTAGTAAGTTTAATAAAATTAAATATGTCTTCTATTATTTTTCATTTAGTCTCATATTCCAATTCGTTCGGATCCACATATATTAATTGTCGGTGATCCAGGTCTTGGTAAAAGTCAATTACTTCATGCTTGTGTTAGTGTTGCACCACGTGGTAAATATATATAATATTTTTATGATCAATATAAAATGTTTATTTTATTTGAAATATACAAAGGTGTATATGTTTGTGGTACAAGTTCAACACAATCTGGTCTTACAGTTACATTACATAAAGATAAAGATGGTGAATTAATGTTGGATGCTGGTGCACTTGTTATGGCACATCAAGGTTGTTGTTGTATTGATGAATTTGATAAAATGGTACAACAACAACAAGTATTACTTGAAGCTATGGAACAACAATGTGTATCCATTGCTAAAGGTGGTATTATGGCAACTATACCAGCTCGAACATGTGTTATTGCTGCTGCAAATCCTGTTGGTGGTCATTATAATAAAGGCAAAACAGTAGCTGAAAATTTAAAGTATAAACTCATATATAAATATATATATTTGGAAGAATAATTCTTTTATATTTTTGTAATTAAGAATAAAAGGACCAATTTTAAGTCGATTTGATCTTGTTTTTATTCTTATTGATCGAGCTGATGATGAACTTGATTATCGTTTATCTGAACATGTACTTGCTCAACATAATCGTTCAATTCGTTCATCACATAATAATACAACTGTTAATTCAACTCGAACACAACATGAAACAGTTACAACTGATAATCAACAACTACAAACAGCATCTACATCTATTGATAATATTCTATTAATTGATCGATTACGTCTTAAACAAGGTGAATCAATCGAACCTGTTGGACCAAGTCTTTTACAAAAAGTAAAATTTTGATGAATTTCATCATGTAATATTTCAAATTCTTTTTCATAGTATATTGCTTATGCTCGTCGATATGTTAAACCTCGTCTTACACATGATGCAATTGATATTTTGAAAAAATTTTATTTTGAATTACGCGTTGCTCATCAACGTGATGGAACAACTCCTATTACTTTACGACAACTTGAATCATTAATGCGACTTACAGAAGTAAAAAAGAAAAATATAAATATTTATTTTTTTCTTCTTTACAAAAATTATTTTTTAGGCTCGTGCTAAACTTGAATTACGTGAACAATGTACTAAATCAGATGCTCTCGATGTTATACAAATTATGCGAGCTAGTATGATTGATACATTTACCGATGAAAATGGTCATCTTGATTTTTCACGATTACAACATGGCTCGGGAATGAGTCGAGCAGCTGAAGTAAAAAAACTAATGAATGCTATTAAATGTGTAAGTGAAAAAAAGAAAAGTAAAATGTTTTCAATAGCTGATTTAAAACAATTAGCAACAGTACGTATTTATTTTAACATTAAATATATCATTCTTATTCTAAATACATAGGATATTAAAATTAATATGATTAGATTCGATGAATTAATAACAAAACTTAATGATAATGGATATTTATTACGAAAAGGTACAAATTTATATGAAGCTTGTTTACTTGATTAGATTAAACATATTTTTTTTATTAATTTCTTTTCTATAATTATATTGTGTGTATTAGTTTTCTGTTTGATATTACTTTGTCATATATAGAATGTTTTAAAGAATAAAAAAATACAATTTAGGAACATTTATCTGATGGAGTGAAAATAGACATTTTCTAATTACAATAGTTAATCATATGTATGAAAAAGGTATTTTACTTATTTAAAAAACCTGAAATATCAATAGGATTAAGAGATACAAAATTCCAAGGATGATGAAAAAGTCAAATAGATTTAGTTTGACTATATTGATCATGATAAAAATAATTATTTATATGTAAGAAAATATTTTTTGAAACTTAAGTAAAATCTCAGCGACTGATTTATGACCGTTGAATATACCATAATTTTTAGAAGGCAGTGGCAGATTTAGAGGGTGTGATCGCCCTCCCCCTACCGAATTTTTTTTATAGCAAAAACGAACGAAAAAATAGGTTCACACTACTTCGTTTGAATTCAAAAATAGCTTTTAGCCAAAATCGTCCCCCCCCCCTCCCCATCCAAAATCCTAGATCCGCCACTGTTGAAAGATCAACATAAATCGAACAGATACGAATAGCTAAAGTAAAAACTATCTGCGAGAGTGTTACTTATTCACAAATTATTCTAATTTAATTTAATATATATGCGATTTATCCTATTTTTTCAATGTCAATGTACGTACAAGATATTTATATTTCATCATATTCTATAAATATTGTACTTGTCTTTTCCTCTTGATTGATATTCGTCTAATGTATTTATTTAACATAATTTAGTCCATATTTTATTTCACTTTAATAAACATAGTTATTCTGTTGTTATAAAAGAAATTACGTAAAATTTTTACAGATGAACAAACGAAACAAGAATCGATTTTTAATAGAACTTCAACTAAATATATTTGTCGACAAGATTTTTTCCGTTTATATCGATATTGTTATCATTTTCTTGGATTTTAATTTCCTCACAAACTTATATACTCAATAAAAAACAAGATATTAAATAGTTTTTTGCCACGCAGCAAATTCTTCTATGGTTATCGTATTTGTTTCTTGAAAGAAAACACCTCGGTATTCACTCGCGTCAAATCTCTTCTTTTTTTTTATTTGACATCGAGCAAAAAAA